CGGCATCGCAGTCGCATTTGATTAAGATTGCAAACAATAAGTCCAATACAAATTTCTGTTTTGGGAATCAATTATGTCAGGAATCGACAAAAATGTGACATTACTAGCGTATGCATGCATAATGATTACAAGGCAACAATCATATTATTATAGTTTTACCAACAATTAATGAAACTTCGTCAAATCGAATGGGCCACTCAAAACTACTTAATATACCAAAGCATTAACGATTAGCTGATCCTCATTTTCACACAGGGAGAAAAGTGGATATATTATTAGGGGCCAGACTTCTCTTGAATTTGTTATGTATTGGTCAAGTACGTTTGGGGTGCAATTGGCCAACTATTCAAAAAACGATTCTAGGATGAGTAATTCTACGACCTGCTATGAGGTCATTGCAACCACTATCCCAAGTCGAATGCAATTCAAGTACGATTGCGGAAATACAAGATCAGTTGCCAAAGTGTTGGGAGATCGAAGATCCCTTCAATCAAAGATCTATTACCTCAGATAAAGATTGTCGATGTGAAGAGATCTTCCAAAAAACAACGAAAAGAGATCCTGGAGGTAGATTCATTGTACACATTCTATAAGTATTCTATAGCTGAACTAGGTTATTCACAAAATTATGCATTCGATCGATTTCAATAATTAAAAAGGACACTTGCAAAAAACTCGAATCAAAACAATATGTATGTTGACTTTATGCAAGAATATCACAAGCTTGGGCACATTACTGAAGTACAAAATACGGATGAATCTACAAATAACTATTTAATACCTCATCATGGAGTGCTTCATGAAAATAATCAAACAACAGAATTTCGAGTGGTGTTTGATGCCTTCGCTCAAACTGATGCTACTGTTTATTCGAATAATCTTCAATACATTGGAAGACCTAATATCAATTCTATTGAGATTCAGGCAACATTCGATAATTATTTATGATAATATTGTTGAGATGTATGGACAAAGTCTAATAGATTTCGAAGGAAAAAATCTCCAACGAATTCTCTCTCTCAGATTGTTCTGAGCTACACAAATTGGATTCTAATAGTGCCGCTGTTCTAGAACATGTGCAAGTAAGAGTTCCAGCTGCTATCATGGAACTAGACCAAGACGAAAAACAAAAACACTTGGTTTATATTGGTCCTGTGAACACGACCATTTGAAATATAGTATTAATACATCTGACCGCAATCATTTGATCCTTTAGGATTATAAGGGCTATGTTTAATAACTAGAAAAATCATTCTGCAAATACTTTAGATGCAGAACCTTAGCTGAGATGAGCCATCACCAGCAGTTATAGCAACCCATTGGCATCAATTCCTTAACCAGTTAAAGATACCGAGACATGTGATTGACAATAACGCGGTGTCTCTTGAGTTACATGGCTTCGCAGATGCTTTGTTGGGAGCATATGAAGGCTGTTTCTATGTACGAAGTATTCTGAAATCGGGTAAAATAACAGTTGCGTTATTAATTGAAAAAACGAAGGTGGCACCTGTGAAATCACCTACAAAGCCAAAATTATAACTGTGTGTAATCCTTGTTCTTCCTCAGTTGGTGAAAATTCGATAAAATTCAGTTATGGTGCGACTCTACAATCTGCCTTCCTTGGATATGTACTCCGCCCAACACAGTACGAATGTACGTTCAAAGCAGTTCATGTAACCTCCAAGGACAATCCATTCGATCCACTTTCAAGAGGTTGTTTGCCTAAAAATATTGCGTACATGAAAAGCTGGTGGTCAGGGCCAAACTGGCTCAGTGAACCTGGGAATAGTTTGCCACCATCGTCATTCGTATATGTCAGTGATCTTCCTGAAACTAGAAGACAAAAAATAGCATTACTAGTAACTGATCCGATGGAATTATTTCTTATGTCGAAATTCTCTACTTTAACAAAATTGCAAAGAGTCACTGCGTACTGTTTGAGATTCGTGACAAATTTCAAAATCGAAAAATCTGAACATACCATCGATCCTTTAAATGCCATAGAATTGGAGGCAGCGTTACTTGCATTAGTGAGGGTTTCTCAAAATGAAACATTTTCAAATGAATTAAAAACTATGAAGGCAAATAAACCATTGAACCAAAGGTAAAATATTCTGTGCCCTTTCCCATTTCTTGATTGGACGAACATATTGAGAGTTGGAAGAAGGCTACAATTGTCGTCTTGTGGATACGAGAAAAAACATCTAGCTTCACTTGTAGGAAAATACTATTTAACCAAACTGAATTTTGAAAACGAACAGTTGGGACTGCGTCACGCAGGTCCTCAACAGCTTCTATCATCTGTGCGAGGAAGGGTTTGGCCAATAAGTGGTAGAAGCCTACCAAAATCACGACTGTGTCCAGCACCAGCATTTGGCACTACAGGTATCGATTATGCTGGTCCGATCAACAACAAAAACAAGAAAGGTAGAGGAGCCAAAACAACTAAATCATGTATATACTTATTCGCAGGGTATAACATGAAGTTATAGTCATTTTGTAGCCATCTAGTGGCAAAGCTCTAAGGTAGGATCCAGAGATCGCGACACACACTGTACGGCGCTGCCATCTATAGTCACACGTACAGACCCTTACGTCTATACGCTACAGAGTGGTACTACAAGTAAACCACTCTGCTGGATTTTTTCACCACCTATTCAACTTCACGATCTCATAACTCAAAGATCCAGGATGAACAAAGTTGCCCCAATTGTCAGCAGGAGTGAGACAGTACTGTTTCGACCCACCAAGTCTCATCAGCCGCTCTCGGTCTGCTGACAACTGGCAATACTCTACGCCTCGGGTATATTACCCATTTCGAAGACGCAGGGTATAACATGGAGTTATAGTCATGTTGTAGCCATCTAGTGGCAAAGCTCTAAGGTCGGATCCAGAGATCGCGACACACAGCAGCACACACTGTCAGCAGACCGAGAGCGGCTGGTGAGACCTGGTGGGTCGAAACAGTACTGTCTCGCTCCTGCTGACAATTGGGGCAACTCTGTTCATCCTGGATCTCTTAGTTATGAGATCTAGCAGTTGAATAGGTGGTGGAAAAATCCACTCAAGTATGTCAGGTAGTGCCATCTGTCAGCAGAGTGGTTTACTTGTAAAACGAAATTTATTGAGTGCCTGTTTCTTCCTAATGTATGAAGAGTGCCGAGAGTGTTCTTGTGGAAACTGAAAAAGGTATTCCATATATGCCCTGAGAATCATTTGATATTGTGTCATTGGGGGTTCTGAGGAGTTTTGAAATTTGGTTGTTGGCCGTGAAAATAGTTGATATCATGTTTTCTCAGGATTCTGCTGAGGAATGGCAAGAACATTTTATGTGACTGAGTGTTTTCTATTTGATATCTTGGTTTTGGGGCCCGTAGTTGATTGCGGATGGATCTGTCGATTCGTGAACTGCTGTAACCATTCTGTAGTGAAGCGGATTTGAGTTTGCCCAACTCTTGTGGTCGGTTATGATTATCGCTGGGTTGAATCGATCTGAGGATGAGGGAATGCAATACGGAGTTGGTTCCACCACCCTCACACTCTCAGTTCTCTCGAAGAAGTAGGCAGATTGAGACCTTAGAGAGAATCAGTGACGAGATCTGGGGAGTAGGCAGATAGATTCCCCGGTGTCAAGTCACATACCTCCCGTGATATCAACTGAGGAGTAGGCAGATTGAGAACTCAGTGAAAAATCTCTCCCAATATTTTCCTATCATAGTTTCCTTTATATTTTTCAGAGGTAATGTTGAGAGTCAATGTAAATTTTTTTTGGATATACAGTGTCACGAAACATTTAAAATTCTTGTAAAAGATGAAAAAAAGAAACAGTTCTTACATATTTTTTACATTAATGAAAATTATCTTATCACTTATTTAGACATTGATTATAAACGTTGGGCAATTTTAAGGTTATCTTCTTCTTCATCACTTCTACTCAAGGAAGAATTATAGGTTAATAGTACTAGGATGTAGTGCATGATGTACTTACTTGAGCTTTGACAGCAATGAGCATAACTTTCCTTAGGAAGAAATGAAAAAGAACAGAGAGAGCCATGTCATGAAACTGAGTTATTTAGAAAGTTCGACAATCTGTACCTTGACTTTGCGGATAGGGGAAAAAAGACAAAAAATGGGAAAACATAAAATGAAAATTTGAAAGAAAGTGTACATGGATGTTGAGACTAAATCTCTATATATTGTTCTAAAAATTGTTCTATCTAAAATTGTTCTATCCGTCATTCGGTTGCTCCCTTACGAGCAACCCTCAGAAGTCTTCGAGAGTCTTGTGCGAGCAAGGAATGACGGGGGCCTTACCTTTTAACGTGTGATCCCAAACACTTTGTTGGGCCATCAGAAAAATTTCTGCAGTCGACGGGACTCGAACCCACGACCGGCAAGCGAATGCGGATTAGAATATGGACACTCTGTCCGCACGGCTACCTGGCTATATATATTCAGCAGACGTGAGGAAAAAGAAGATCACCTCAAAATTGACCTACGTGATATAAACGTTAACAAGATTTTCAATGTCTCAATTTGTGATAAAACTATTTTTGATTGATGTAAAAAATTATGTAATAACCGTCTTTCGTCTTTCACGAGAATTTTAAATATTTCGTGTTATGCCCAAAAATGTTACAACGACTCTCAAATTTTCTTAACACCATGGTTATCATCCTCAAATAGTGTAAGTACCATTTAAACATTCCTCAATATTATTGTCAATGTACACGTATCAATTCTATTTGTAGTCTCTCTGAAGATGGACATATGCATTTCCGGTAGCTCGGACATACTGTAATGAGTTCACCTCCACTTTGCTGCAATCTCCACTAGCAAGCTAGTTATATAAATATATATCCACGAAAGAAAATTGTGTACAAAACTGTGGATCGATAATTTGAATTTTTCTTGGGTAGGCAATGCTTCCATTCTTTCATTGTATGCACGCCAGGCTGTATGTTCTTTTCCACTTACTTGTTGCCTTTTTGTTTCCTAAGCTGATGTTGCAAAACGCGCTGGCTGGTTTATCATTTGGACCCGTCAGAGAACCTGTCCACGATGGAGCATTCTTCACAGGCGAATCTGAGGATATGTTGTCGAGAGGGCAATTCAATCGGGTACCATGTTTGATGGGTGTGAACTCCAACGAAGCTGCTGTTATACGCGAAGTTACAGGTAAAGTCAATAATAAACTTAGTCACATCAGCGTTCTGTAGTAGCAACATTTCTTATGTGCATATGCTCAATTACAGATCAAGTTTCATTGAGAAATCAGATGATCATCGTTAAAATATCTAACAGAAACAACTTCTTTCCTGACTATCACCACAGAATGTGGAATCATATTTGTCGAATCTTGAGAAGACTTTATTCAAAAAAATAAACAAACTGTACACAAACTATTGTTGAAATATATAACAGAAAACAACTACTTTCCTGGTTGATACCACATAATGTGGAATCATATCTGTCAAATGTTGAAGAGACATTATTGAAGAAAATAAACAAATGTACAATCACTATTGTTCAAATATTCAACAGGATACAACTACTTTTCTGGCTGATACCACAGAATATTATATAATGAATGAATGAAACTGTATGTTGTTTCAGAGCCAATTTGAAGTTTGAATCAAGTAAATATATTGAATATGGAATTACTAGGTTGTCCGAATATCGAACAAACTTTTAATTTCGATATTCAATAATCAATACGATGCCGATGTTGTGATAACATTGACATTTTGTGACCAGCCGATATTTATTTGCCAATAACTATTTGATATTGGCGAAATATTAACGATAACAATATGTCGATTCTCATGATAGGCTGATATTGTATCTTCAATACCAAATCAATCTTGAAAACGAATATTGCATCAATATCAGATTTATCATGGTTAGTGGATATTGCATTTCATTGTTCAGCAATATTGCACTGATAATAGCTCGTTGATATCAATTCGATGTAATGAAAATAACATCACATCTATATATCATATTTCAATTTATTTCAATATTGAATCAATATTATCAAAATGATGTTTGAGATGATGCAACAAAGTCTGTTTCCATATATGGGAGAATTGGGTTGTGGAACGTTCGTTATATGAAATTGACATCATATGTAAGTAAATATAACGAGTGTGTTTACTATGCGATTTATTTGAAAACTATTTTTCCCACAAAGTTACCTTCTTTTTCATAATCTGAAAAAACATATTTTTGCAAACTTCCATTCAGGAACATTTTCTCTATTTTCATTTGGTTGATAGCTATGAGACTCTGAAGTTGCCATTGTCTTCAAATGAATCTCAACTAACCCCGCAGTAATAAAAATCATGTCGGCAGGAAAACAATTTGTTTTGTGAGCAATATGAATTGGGATACATTTTGCATTTATATTGAAACCGATTGAAACAAAAACCCGGCCGACTTGATCAGTCAGTTGAGATTCATTTAAAAATACTAACTTCAGAGTCCCATAGCCTTCAACCAAATGAAGAAAGAAAAAAACTTTTCGTATGAAGTGAGTATGAATTAAGAATAAATATGTTTCTTCAGAACATGAGAAAAAATTAACTTTGTGGAAGAAATAATTTTTCAGGCGTCACTTTCGCCATTTTCAAAAGAGTTGGGATATGTTTGAATACGAGAAAATATACCTGATACACAGCTATTCGAATCCCTTTTGCCAAATTTGCATTTGCAGTTTTCTTCTTCCTGTTTTGAGCCAAGGGTGGGAAGTATCACTATATTGTTCATGATAGCAATGAACACAATTGATTTTTCAATTACAGTATTTACAATTCTAACGATTGCTTGATCCTTCCATTTTGTGTCATATACCACAGGATACCGAATTATTGTTACAGAGAGAGCATGACAAAATGAATACAGCTCAATTGAATCCCGAATATTTTAAACCCTTCTGCTGAATCTTCGAATCGAGGCTGTACTGTATTAACAATTTTATCTATTCGTTTCTTTATTCGTGTATTTTTGCCTGATCTTTTTTGTCAGCATTTTTTTTTTCTCCTTCTAGTTGGATCTGGAAGCATTATCTGGTTTGGAATGTTTTTTGTAGAGACATAGATTGAATCCTGCATTCCGATATCTGTTGTAGTTGTATTGTTTTTAATGAACATTTAATATGTTACTTTGTCATTCACCTATCGCTATTTATTATTATTATTATCATCATTATTATTATTATTATTTGCAGCCACATTTCGTTTGTACGTCGGCTCCTACGCCTTGAAGACCAATGATCTTGCTCCAGTAGATTTGACAGACAACCCAATCAGACGATATTTGGCAGCTAACGCCATCAAATGTAGATATTTCCGCTGTTCCATCACAGTTACATCTTCTGAAAATATCGTTAAGGTATGGCTAGTACCCGTTAATTATATTTTGGAAGTTTCAATCGAGATGAATGTTTCATAGGTCATCAGAATGAGAATGAGTTTCTGACAATAACAGGGTTATCTATGTGAGAATGCGATAAATAATGGGATACAAAGTATCAGAGAAAATTGAGTGAATTTGAGACATTTATTCAAACTGAAACATACTATGAAACGCTACTGAACAATCTCGAATTCTCCAAAGATGTGACCAAAAGATTAATTAGACCGGATTAGGAAAACAAACTTAGATTAATATAAACAAAAAAATAATATTTGGATCATTGAGGATACTACATTTCAGTTAGCCGAAAAAATGGTTCATATAATATGAAGTACCTTCAACAGCTAACAGCTTCATCTATGGATGGATGTCTTTAGTGAGAAAAGCTATCTATCGAAATTTTCAAAGCCCACCATTTAGAGCAAGAATTGAATGAGCGAAATATCTTAAGAGCGAACAATTTGAATAGCGAAACAGTCACAGCGAAGAATATTTTTCTACGAAATAATTCACTTACTTGTGACGAAAATCAGAGAATTTTGAAACTTCGAGAACTAACGCCATCTGAGGAATCAATGATATGGAAAATCATAATAACTAATAAATTTTAATGATAATATATAAAATTCTCAACAAAAATACAAAAAACATATATTTTTCAATAATTTATTGGATGTTATGACAAAAAAATAGCTGAAGCTGAATCGGAAATGTAGTTCTCGTTCTCGGCATCGGCACACAGTTTGTCTGCCAAAAGCTTGCATTTCAGGCTTTGTATCCACTAATCATATCAACTATAGTGGATGGAAGAATGGATGTATCCATTCGTCTGCTTCTTACTGCTATCACTCTGCATTTTTCATCTTCCTCATTCTCATTACTTCGGAGGTTGAATATAGTTGAAACACTACAAATCATCTTAAACCAGCTGTCCAGCCCGGCTTCGCACAGTTGGTGTACCTATTGAAAAAAAAAACATTTGTTGCACTCGTTCTGAGCTATGTGCGTATCTACAGTACAACTGGGATGTTAAATCATCCTGTTGGAATGCCTTGAATAGAAATAGATAAAATGAAATAGAAAATCCCTTTATTGTATGGACTATGATATCAGAATGGCAGTTCAGACGCGTCGCACGATTCGCCATGAAATTTCTATAAATTAACTTTCCATTGTAAAGTTGTTCTGAAACAATTTCCAGTTGGCTTGGTAAGGCCACCTCAAGATAGTTATTGTACTCTTATTGTCTTATCAATCCAGGATCCAGTCAAGAGCACAACTTTCTTATAATTCACTACAAAAGTAAACACAAGTAGGTATAATCATACATCAATCAACGGTATGTGTCACTGTCCACAATATCGTTCAATAGTTTATCTGTTGGATTTTCTCAATGTATTTCTTTATATACAGGGTGTTTGGTTCACCGACGTATATCTGAAAGGAGGTGATAGGTGAGATGATTTTGAACATATTTAACCATACACACTATTATACGAAGTGTTCCGCTTTTTGATATATCATCGATTTTCAGAATTTGCTCGAATTTGATGATGAATAGGTCCACATGAGTTATAATAAAAAAATTTCCAAACATTTCATCTGATTGAATATTTTTCCCCTGTAAAGGAGAGTCACCAGTTGATCGATGTATAGCACTCAATGTGATCTACATGATTGTGATTTCAAAAAAATTGTGGCTCATTTGAATTTTCGTAACGAATTACTGTGATACCCAACTTTGACCTCAAAAGCGAAAAAATGGAGTTGTCCAAATAAAACATTCGTTCGAACATCTTCAAAAACTTCCTTTATCTTCGTTCTGTTTATCAATATATTATAGTCCATCACTACATGCCATTTCCCGAATTTTGATTTTCGTTATTTAACATGTTCCTAAATAGATTAGCTACATTGTTGCTACGCGACAGATAAACTTATTCATCAAAGTTCACTCAGTTGTCATTCATTGTATTTTATTTTGTTCATTTTGTAATATTTGTCAATTTGGCAAATGGCTGTTTTTTCGAATGCTGAATATGCTGATCTAATTTTCATGTACGGCAGAGCTGACAGCAATACAGCTGCTGCTCAGCGATTTTATCAAGAAAGATTTCCTCAAAGACGAGTACCCCACGTGTCCGTGTTTGCTAATACGTATCGTAGATTGAGCGAAACTGGCAATTTACATCGAAGAGATCCTAGAGCAAACAATCAACAACATTGCCCTGAAGTGAATCGGCAAATTCTTGAAAATTTTGAAGCAGAGCCCACTAGCAGCACTAGAAAAATAGCGGAACAGCTGAATCTATCTACCTGGGAGGTATGGTCAGTTCTTCATTCTAAAAAAATGCACCCATTCCACTACACTCCCGTGCAAAGACTCGAAGAAGGAGACCCAGTTCGAAGAAGCACTTTCTGTTGATTCATCCTAAATGCCGACATAGACAATCCAACATTCTTACGTAGGATTTTGTGGACTGATGAATAAAAAATTTCTCGTGAAGGGATTAATAACTTCCATAACCTGCACTATATATTGGGCAGAAGAAAACCCCCATGTGAAGAAACAAATTTCCTTCCAACGGAAATTCAGTGTGAACGTTTGGGCAGGTATAATAGGCAGAGTTCTGGTCGGTCCATATTTTTTGCCTAACAATTTGAATGGTGAAAACTATCTAGAATTTTTAATAGATAATTTACCCAATATTTTGGAGGAAGTTCCTTTAGATGTAAGATAACAAATCATTTATCAAAACGACGGATGTCCTGCCCATTACCGTATAACTGTCAAAGATTTTTTGAATAATCAATTTCCAGGAAGATGGATAGGGCGAAATGGACCGATATTATGGCCTCCTAGATCTCCAGACCTGACCCCCGTCGACTATTATGTCTGGGGACGAATGAAGGAACTGGTGTATGATGAGGAAATTCGGGATCGAGAACATCTTATTCGGAAAATCAATGAGGCAGTAGATCAAATGAAGGCGGAAATGTGGCTAGAAGTAACCACGACCGGCATACGACGAAGATGTCGACTTTGTATTTGAAATGGTGGATCTCATTTCGAGCAAGAGATTTCATAAATAGATTCCTGTTGATAATTTTAATATTTTCTTCTGTTAAATCTTGCATTTTTTTCCCGCGAGAAATTATTTTGTTTTTTATTAAAATAAGTATACTACATTATTAAGTCAGCGTCTGTTATCACATCATTCGAAAGAACCAACACTAAGAAAGTTTTCCAAGGTATTCGAACGAATAATCCATCTGCATAATTATACTTCATATTATTCGCTCATAAATTCGATGTTGGATATTACAATTGATCGTATTTTTAATTCTAATGAGCTATAATTTGTTTCGCCATACGTAGATCCCATTACATGATCAATATCGATGAAATACGTATTCAACTTTATAGAAAAAAAATATACAATCAGATAAAATGTTTGGCAAAACTTTTATGATAACTTATGTGGAACTATTCATCGAATTTGGTCAAATTCTGAAAATTGATATCTCGAAAAGCGTAACACTTTGTATAATAGTATTGATGGTTAAATGTGTTCCAAATCTTCCCACCTATCACCTTCTTTCAGATATACGTCGGTGAACCAAACACCCTGTATATATCCATTTTTCTAATTCATAATTTCATCAGAAGATTAATATTTCATTTTTTCATCTGTTATACAGAATTTGTCTATCCTGAACAAGAATGTCAACCCTTTAAGAGTATCAGAACACCACAGTTTGTCTTGATAATCGGAATAATCGGGCCAAGACACAGCTAATTCACTACCATTTACATGTGATCATGTTAACAAGGTCCGTCTGTATAGTCATATAGGTAGACCTATTAGGTATAATCCTGGGTAGCGTCCACAATATCACTCTAAAATTTGTCTGTTTGGGTTTCCCCAATTTCACACATAATTTCTCTATCCTGAATAAAAATGAAAAACCTTAAAAACTACCAGAACACCACAGTTTGTTGTAATAATCGGAATAATCTTCTCCAGAACACAGCTGAACATGTTAACGACGTTCGTCAGTGACGTCACACGCGCCGATTGGCGGGGTTACATTGTGTCTTATAATATATTATATGTATAATGAACTATCCTCCTGTAGTCCTATAGTCTTTATAGACCTTGAGTATCCACAATACTTAATTCCACTCTCAGGTGAACTTTTACCAAATATTAACAAAAATATATACAAAAAATAAATTGAAAGTGAAAAAAAACTTTTTAATAAAAAGCTTTTAATCAAACGCTCTAAAAAGAAGAAAATAAAATTTTTCTTAATAATTTCAACTATCAACTTATAACCTCATTATACATAATTAAATTGTAATTTTAAAAATTTTATCTCAGAAAATTTCACATAATTAAATAAGTACTAGTTCATTCACACAAGTGAATCGCGCGACAAACTTTCATGATCATATAAATTGTATATTGATCATCGCGACAAGCTTTTATGATCATATAAATTGTGTATAATGAGGTTATAAGTTGATAGTTAAAATTATTAAGAAAAATTTTATTTTCTTCTTTTTACAGCGTTTAAATGAAAGCTTTTTATTAAAAAGTTTTTTTTTACTTTTAATTTATTTTTTGATTTTTAGTTATTGCTAGCTGGATTTTTCGATTGACTCTCAACGAGCCTTTCCATTTGATACCCATATTGTAGTTGTTTATTAAAAATAGCTATTCCGTCATCTTGGATGGTCCGCCATATTGGATTTAGAATAACGTCACATTATTTTTCGAATTACTCTCAACGAGCCTTTAGATTTGATACCCATATTGTAGAAGTAGATTAAAAATGACCATTCCGCCATCTTGGATGGTCCGCCATATTCGATTTAGAATGACGTCACATCATGTTTCGAGTTAGTCTCAACGAGCCTTTTCATTTGATACCCATATTGTAGAAGAATATTGAAAATAGCTATTCCGCCATCTTGGATGGTTCACCATATTGGATTTAGAATAAGGTCACATTATTTTTCGAATTACTCTCAACGAGCCCATTCATTTGATACCCATATTGTAGAAGTATATCAAAAATAGCTATTCCGCCATCTTGGATAGTCCGCCATATTCGATATAGAATGACGTCACATCATTTTTCGAGTTACTCTCAACGAGCCTGTTCATTTGATACCCATATTGTAAAAGTATATCAAAAATAGCTATTCCGCCATCTTGGATAGTCCGCCATATTGGATTTAGAATGAAGTGACACACCTTATCGTGCATTGTCATTCAAACTGAGCGTGTATACAAAATTTCAGCTCAATCGGTTGAAGATTTCTACTTCAAAATTGAGTTCAAAGATTCCACCCGAACATACATACATTCAAACATACGATACAAGATTTTAATTTATTAAAAAAAGATCTAAGTTATGTCCACAAATGTTCAAATGTTTATAAAAGGAAAGAAAAAAAACATGACGAGAGAAGAACAACTACCTTCCTGGATAAGACCACGCCAGGTACCTTCAGTATAGCAATCTGTAAGAACAAGAAGCGACATCGGTGGTTCCTATGTAATTTCTGGAATATCGTTAATCTAAATCAATTAGGGTATCGCACATACCCCACCACACCAGAACTGGAATACTGATAAGATTTTTTTTTATTCAAGATTAGTAAGTTAAGGAATGAAAACTGAGCGAAAGAAATCTAATTGAAACGAATTATTCATAGAAAGTATAATTTCTTCATATTCCGGAAATTGGCTGATTTCTGAACTTTGGTAGTTTTTTGTTTTTTTTCCCGATTATTCCCACTTAATCATGTGATTTTCATCAATCATTGTCTAATCACTTCAGTTCATTGTGTACTTTGACACGTACTTTTGATATTTTCATGAATTGGATTTTGAACAAAACTACTATGGAAGTATTATTCGTCAATACATTCAATTCGTTTTCTCTCAAACCTGATGAAATTGTGATTTATTGTTTTCGATAGGTGATATTGATATGCTTGTGGATTATAATGAATACGATATATCATGATTCTGAAAATTTTAAAATATAAAAAATAATAAATTTTGCGGTATGTCATACCTCACCATACTTCTGATGTGATGATTTCCAAACACTCGCACTAGTAGAGAGTTGAAGTAATCACTGTACGTAGACCTCCACGTAGACGAAAAATAACGTTTACGTATTGTCGTTAAATTGAGTTGAAGTCGCCACTTTGGTCGTCACTGTCATCATAAGATCATAACGTAATAATACATTTTGTTTTCGGTTTTTATTGGTCATTTTTGGTTGTGTGTTTAGATTCAAACATTTATTCCTGTCAAAATTAGAGGACTCCTTGATGCAGAACTCGTTGGTGATCTCGAATTTGATAATTTTGACTTATCGGCATATTTTGAGTATAGTTTGGTTAACGTACTTTGATATTTAAGGTATACGTGAAGGAACGTGAGGTACACCCGTAAGCCCACTAACAACGCAAACGTGAAGAATTGGAAAATGCGCATGCGTAGCTGTCAATTTCTACGTTTACGTTAACGTTCATGACAACACTTCAACTCTCTAGTATTCGTTTATACGTATCTATACATAGATTTCGGGAGGATGTAATTCAATATTCGGCATGCCATTGGCCAGGAAAGTAGTAGTAGAGCAGTTGGAGGAATTGGAGTGGAAATAATTTCCATTTTCTGAAGCCTCTTTCGACCCCTTACACTATATTAAAAATATAGATGCATTCTTTCATGCAAAAATGTTTTAATGCAAATTTCATATTTCAGGTGCCCAAACCGAAATGATTGTTTCACAACTCAACACATGTTCCGCTACCTATGTTAGGATCTTCAGGTTAAGATTCAAACGAATTCCATAATCTTCCTAAAAATTATAATATGGTTAGCAGATCTCAAAATTTGTGTCGAGGTGTTGAACAATCATTTTGGTATGTGATTCTAACTATTCTCTGTGATCGGCAATGAAAGGTTCCATTATTTGATATATTATTCCAGGTATACCTGAATATAGTGAATTGAAAGCAGCGATGGAAGAAAACAAATGTTTATTATTTTCTTCAAGTACTGATGATAGTTCGAATTGTGTTAAATTGACTGCTAAAGGTGTCCAAGGAATTATAAGTGCTAGCAAGTAGCAGCAAGACAAAATAATTGAACTCTTGGAACCAGTGCCTATTCGTCCTCTACTTGTTCACGGCGAATGTCGTCGTTTGAACGTTAATCCGAACAAGATGTAGAATGATCTCAGGTTTAAATCAGATCATGATAGAGAAGCAACAGAGCTTTGTGATCTGAGCTGCCGACATTCGCATTCAAAGATAATTGCTTATTTTTGGCCAATTCATAAAGGAAACTGAGAAAATAATCAAATCTGCAATTTTACCAGTACGAACTTTCGCGTTTCGACAAACTATTATTGATGTGTGTGATGCAAGAAACGATTTTTGATCATGAAATGTCCTTGCACGTCTTCTTTCTGTTATCGATACTTGCCAGCAGCAGATGCTCTGTATAATCAGAAATGTAGTGTGCATTTTGGAAAAGGAGACTCTATTACTAAGAAGCATCAACATAATATTCCCAATGAACAGACAAACTTAGCAGGACGTCCTTCTGATAAAAATAAAGAAGATGCCTTTCTAGAAATATGCACGTGGGTCATGAAAAATGATGAACCAATTTCAGTTTAGGAGTTGCTGGTCAAAATGGCAGAGCTGCCGCCTGAAAATATCGAACCTTACACTGTTCGTCGTATGCATAAAAAATTGAAAGAATTTTTCTCGGATGACATTATGATAATTGGGACAAAAAGATAGAGCTAATATGATCGTAACAGGGAAAACAGTTGCCAATATAATTTGTGATTATCATCGACTGAAGTGTTCAGAAGATCCAGATGCTGAAAAATTTCGGATAGTTGAAGCAACAGCTAAACTTAGAGTTTTATCCTTCACCAGAAGAAATAAGTTCCGAGCAGGAAAATAATAAGCTTTCACCCGACATTTTGAAAACATTCTTGGATATAATAATCAACAAATAATCCTCAAGTTTGGAGAAAAATTCAATTAAACAGGTGCTAATGCAAGCTGCCAGGCCACGATCTATCATAAGTTCAATTCGTCTAGGTGTTGGTGTGCAGTATCATCGAGATTTTCGATCTCGGTTACTTGACGATGAACTTCATAAGCTTGGGTTTTCTGTATCATATGATGACGTACAGAAGTTCTTGCAAAACTGAAGTAGATGAACCTTGTGGAACCAGATGTATATGTCGACGATACGGAATTTTTTGCACAGTATTGTGCAATAATTGTTCGGGAAGGTGCCAATATTCCAATCGAGGAAGTTGAAGATAATGAATAAACTTCTGTTACATGCCAAATATATCATTTTTATTAGGTTTATGATTTATATGTATTAACGAATAAACGAATATTGGAAACACTGTATTTTTGTTTTGCCCACAGGTATCATTCTATATTTTCTCATATGTGTTATTCTATGCATTCTGAACTGAGAAAAGCAAAAACAGATTTTGTGGGAATTATTTCCACCTGAGACCATTTTTTATCGCATATCTACTACACTATAGGTAGTTGTTTTTATCCCGTCAACTACCATTGTTCATTTCATGGAAATTTGTGGAAATGATTTCAAGGTTTTTTGTAATTATTAAACATTCCATTTCACTCTGAGGATTTTGGCTATTTCGTAGTTGAAATATTAACTTGTTGTATAAGTATATTTTTTTCAGTTTATTAGTGATGACCAATTCAATAGACCAACAAGAAAAGCTGTTTTGGATTTGTCCAGACTCGTACCAGTGTATTACTATGTGTTTTCCTATGAGGGTACTTTGGGAGGAGTTGAAAACCGGACTTTGCTAGGTAAGTGGGCAAACACTACTTATTCGACAAGTATTCTACCTACGACCTTGCTTGAGAAGATACCCACATTTGAGTACCCTATTGTTCACGGAAGTATAACAAAAATGTTCTACTCCCGTATCACAATACGCGAATTAAATATCTGCTACCGATTACTTGATAGTGTTCATTTCAACACGGGTTCACAATACAATACAATACAATACAATATTTTACTCATCCCAAATATATCACTTTACAATGATATAGGAAATGTCATATAAGTTCATATACAGGGTGTCTCAGAACAACGTACATTGAATTCAACAGGGTGAATTAGAGTTCAAAATAGGTCGATTGGGACCAATTTACTTCTATACGAAAATGCACCGTTGGGCCGTGAGAGGGCGATGAATGGATTTTTTTTTTCAGATTTTATTGAATATTTCAAAATCCTTGAGAGGTAATGATCTGAAATTTGGAAGGCAGTCGACTATGAGAAGTGTGCATATAGGTCTCATCAGTGCAATCGATATACAGGAAGATACAAATTTAGCATTCTGATTGGAGAGAATCCATAGAACTTTTTTTGAGTACGCCACTGACCATATTTCAATATCTACTTGAATAACGAAATCAATTATCTACCTTTTTTCTCACTACATTTCTTCCTGAATTTTGCTTGGTTTACGAGATATCTGAAAAAATTCTTTCGGAGACCCTCCATATCATCCATAGTCCATGATATCAGAGTTATTGTGTTCTGCAGGTTTCTCCCTCCTTCATGTTGATATTTTAGTCACGTATTCATGTTAATAATTCAATAACCTTTTCGTCATACAGGATGGCCCATTTTCAACTTGACAGGGAGATTTTGGGTGATAATAGCGTAGATACGAAAAAATGCTCAGATCGGTCGATTTTAGTTTGCACCTCTTGCTAACAATCAAAGTCGTTTGCAGGTTTTTTTCGTTCTGTTGAGAGTTCGGGGGCACAGATATTATATTCATTTTAGCAAGCTCATTGTAAAATAAACTGGATCTCAGGGACAAAGAATAATTATAATAATAATAAATGATAATTTGTCCTGATTCCGAATCCGAAGTGGCTTTCAACCTATTTTGACTCCTAATATCATTCTAAGAAAATCGGGGTGGTTCCATGACTGTTGGCGAGCAGTGTATATCACTGAAGATAGAATCACTTGGTCATGAAGTGCATTTTTGCTATATCTCTCGCTCCAGCAAATTTCAGGATCCCTACCCAACGAATACGTAAGATACAGGAGTGTTTCCATTATAAGTGAGACACACTCTATATGTAAACAAATATAACAGAAAGGAACAAGAGGGGGACATTAAAACCCAAATTCACAGGCATTGACATCATTTCAAAATTCATAGTTGAGGAATTCACCGGTTGAATAAAATCTTACAGACGCTAGTAATGTATCTATCTCAAAAATAATTTCCACGTCTATTCCAATTACTACTAAACATCTCAACAGCTTCAACTCAGAATTGAGAACCACGGGTACATTAACGATACCTGAAACATCATACTATTCCCCGTTAGCTACCCTAAACGAACCTGGAAATCCTTCTAATACTAAATTGAACCTTCATGATTTGTCCCAACCAGACTTTCCGATGAGGGACTGCGACGCTCCAGAATCGAGAAGACAAAAAAATTTTCCCCTAAGATAGTGACGGTTAAATGAGAACGAAGAGCACCGTCCAACGAACAGAATAAACTATTCGCAATTTCTTATATTGTGAGGCTACGAAAGAGAGACACGACTGATACGAACCGTCCTCTTGAAACCAGATGTTTCTTGTCTAATACGACCGACGACCGGTTGCATGTCGATCGTTTGATTTGTTTTTTGAACACTTCGAGCATGAATATTTAGTGACCCCTTGTTCCCCACATCGAAAACAAGAAGATCGATTGCGCTGTTTCCTACATTCATTGAATCCATGTCCCGTTTCTTCACAGTTCCAACAACTAATACTGTTGAGAGATACGGATGGCCTAGCATGTTTGAAACCTGATGCCAGGGACATCTGACGGTCCACACTACGGCTTTCATACGAATCTGGCTCCAGAAAAAGTAAATCCTTGTTTGCTTCCAGATTTTGGCAAATCTCTCTAAGTTCTTATATATTTATTTCGGTCAGCCTTCACTTGTAAACCAAATTTTTTTACATAAAAGGGATCAATGTTACCATATACTATATCGACCTTTTCTTGGTTGCTCAGGTTTTTTGGGAGTCTTTCAAAATAATTCAACATATACGCAAAGAATTCGCTTACGCTCTCATTGGTACCTTGTTCCTTCTCGTAGATTCCTTTCAGCAAGTCTTTCTCAACGACTAACGAATTCTTGCCAATTACGAACCGTATGCTTGACCGAACGATACCAATTTAACGTTTCAGTAACACTCCTAGCGACGCAGTATTCTTCAACCCTTTCAATAAAAGCGTTGACATTCAAGCCATCTTTTCAACCTGTGAACCGAACATCCCATTTATACACTGGTATCGCATTCCGACTACCAGCCGGAGCTGACACTGAACCTGCGACAGAAGGTAGTGCAAGAGGTGGTGCCACACTCCCTTGAGATTCGCTGAAGATTAACTTTTCATCTAGATTGCTCTCTATGTCTTTAGACCTAATCTTTAAGTCAGGTGATACTAGTTGACAATGCTACGGCGTCGACCGAAGGAGCTAGTCTCCTCAGCCTTGGATAGAAATGTTGTAGCTTCGGTTCTATATTCTCTAAACTAACAACTTCATTATTACAAACATTGACCTCCTCAGTTTCATCTGGGTTGAAGCTGGGATCAGTATAAGTACAACACCAAAAGATTCGTTTTTCATGATAACTACGCATGGTCGCATCAGTCTCCGCCTCTGTATTGCCATAACCACGTACCAATAACTCATACTAGAGTTCGTCTTTATTAAGCCGGTGCAAATCCATCTTCCACACAACAAAAAAAAACCTCTTACCTGTATTTAATAATGATACTGAATATTCTGGAGATATACTCTAATAAAGAAATCTGAAAGTTATCAAATTCTGATTGGAAACTGCAATGCTCAATATAACAAATACCATCTATATTCACATCCTATAGAAATGTTCATCAAAAAGGTATAAAAAAAATCTTAATTGTTCATGCTTTTGGGTGTATGATGAATTGACATTCATCATACAGGGCGTGGAAAGAAATTCTGAATTGAGACTCTATCTTGATTGTTCACCTGATCATTATTAAGAAAACGTATACTCCTTATGATCAAATATGTTCAAGGCTTGTATTTGATTATTATACTCCTCCTATTATCCTCTTTAGTAATCACGATTACCTCAGCTAGTAAGCTTTCTCAGTAGGGGCGAAGTTCGAACAAAACGAACAAATGAATCATTACTACCACCAGACAATTAAGTGACAGGTAGTGGAAGGGCGTCAAATGGTTTTGAAATCCATATAGACTGTTGGCCCACGACACAGGGTTTATCGATGTCCTAAGTCGGTATGCCATTTGAGGGACCCACTCACTTAGTCCAAATTAACAGGAAGGAGTGCCTCGGAGAGTCACAACCCAGTCCTTGCCCCGGCCCTGACGTCACCTTTCGGTTGGAAAAAAGTTCAAAATTTTGTTCAAGAAGAAGCTCGGCAATGAAGTGCAATGATCTTATCTCACGACAATTGGGGCGCTTGCTGGTTTGCATACGCCTAGGTTACTGCCCAAGGGAGGCATACGAACCAGAAGTGGCAATTTTTCAATGTTATAGTCGATGATCGAAGAATGTATGCCCTTCGGCGAAACAATGAATTCTGACCCATTAATCAGTTTCCCGACATTTGCATACGATTCCGGAGAGGGGAGCTCGACTTATTCGAACATCAATTGACTAGACATCTTTCAAATAATCGATGATTTAAGTTCGTATGCAAATCTCTAGACCGATAAACTAGGATATTCTTCATAACTGGATGCTATTTGCATACGAATTCAATGTGAGCATACGTTGTAATAATCGGGCGAACCCGCGCGTGCCTCGGTCCGGCGCGGCGCCCCGCACTGCAGGCCAGAGGTGCACCGATAGCGAACTAGATAATCGGGAAGTCTCATAATCTCACTTCACATGAAACCAGGTCAAAGATTAACTCCCTGGGAGTAATGGGGATATTCGGAGTCGTAAATTGCAGATATATTTGTATTTATCAATCAGAAATTTACAGCTCAACAAAATTACATGTGTGAGATGTTTAGTACCAAGAAATTTTTTTGTGTGATTTTAATTTGTAAAACAGGGCTTTGAAAAGATGATGAAACAAATTGACAACAAGATACTCGCAAGATGATCAAGAGGGATCGTACAGGGAGAAGAGGGGTGGATTATTGCTCATGATCGAAACTCACAATAAATCGAATTGAAATTCTTCCTGGGGCTTATGGGACTGCTTATCATAATACTGGCGTTTGAAAAATATATAAAGAATGTACATTTAGTTTGTTGAATGTTTTGGGTATAGTATGGGGTCCTGTACTTCAATCTACATTTTTGTTTTTCAAATAAAAAAATTATTTGAGAATGAGATTATATTGAATGAGAACAACATTATATTTCGATGGAGAAATTATACGTCGTCCTCTCTATCATTATCTTCAGAGTCATCTTCGCTCTCGCTGTCTGAAGATGATTCTTCAGAGTTGTCATCAGTACCTGTTAGTAAGAATATTATATAATTATTGAAAAATCTTGACATGATCGAAAGATATAGCTGATACTTTCTCAGTTGAAGTCTCAGAGATCATGATATCACCAACATCTGCTGGAAGAGCTTCACCAAGGTACCAATGGAAATCGTACCCAAAAAGAGTATCAAGGGCCCAGCCCCCATCATTATTTTTCATGTAACTGACAATGACATAACTTCATCAAACCCAGTATAGTTGAGTTTAGCGATAAGATTCACACGCTGCACTTGTTACTGGTAATCCG